TGAAACTAGCGTACCTTGAGTTGATCTGAAAATATCATGTACGGATCAGTTACACCCTTAAGCATACACAGCGCAGGTACTGCTTATCCTCGAGCCTGTTCTGCATTCAAACAGTCGTTGCAGATTCGAAAGGTACCGTCACACAAATGCGTGCCTCGCGTGTCGGTCGCTCAAGGCCTGTCAAAGAACGAACTCGGTCTTTACGCTGCATCCCCGTTTCGAAAGCGCAATGTAATTCGACCCCTTGAGAATTTGAATTTCTTGAAGAACAGCCGTTACTAGGTCAACCTCGCCTTGACCCTTGCGTATTAATACTTCTTTACGAACACTTTCACTTATAAGTGTTGTTAGGTATAGAGATGTATTCCTTGGAATTTGGCTAAGTGTCTGTCTTCCCCGGACATGAAAGGCAATTCCCCGGGGTTCACTTCCTTCCCCGGGTTTTCGATGGCCGGGGAAGACTTGAACGGTCTTTCCCCGGTCACAACCCCGGGGAGTCTATCCCGGGGAAGCCGGATCACGTCTCCCCGGCTTTTCCCAGGGGTGAGTCCGGGCAATCTCCGGTCTCTACCTCCGGGGAAAAGCCAATTCTCCCTGTGCTAGTGGTGAGGCGACGGTGCTGTGCAAAGCGATGAAGGCTGGCTGCACAGGAGAGTGTCCTTGAGCATGCCTTTTTTTCATGGAACAATGTGCATGGGTGAACTTGCCAGGCAGCTTGGTAGTTTGATAGTGGATTCGCATCTCTGCTGTTTAGAAGCTGTAACGTAAGGCCTCTTTCTGAAGCCTCATCCAAAAGTGTGCAGGCTCCCCTGGAAACGTCGTGGCCACACTACCGTACACATACACGGTGCAAACAAACACGGTGAGTCGAGCGATGGGTAGCGCCTTTTGAAGGGCAAGGTAGGTGTTAAACCTGTTGAATTCAGGTCGTCAATAACGGTTGGGCCATCACATCAAGTTTGGTGTGGCTCTTATCACTTCCTTTGCGGAATTAAGCAGAAGACGTGGGTGCTCAAGAATCAGTTGCTACGATCAACCAGCAGATCATCTCCGTGCTTGAAGGCTAGGTTCAGAGTAATATGCCAGGTCAGCAAGAGGTCCTTGACTAAGCAGGATCAAAGTCTGTCCCCCTGGGCAGTCTGTGTTCGCTATTCAATCTTGCTTGGAATTTTGCAGTAAGTTTCTCGTCAGCCGGGCCCCTTTCTACCGTACAAGCACGCTTGAGCGCCATGGTAATTAATGGCCTAGTTGGAAAGGCACCCAGTATCTGTTGCTTTGATGTGAGTCGGCTTGGCGTAGTGGCGGTTAGCAGCTCTTGTGTACTCGTAAAGAAATCATGCTTCAGCCCCATCACCATGCATCACGGCTGCATCTGCGTCTCGTCACGCAAGCTAAGCTGAAAGTTGGAAAGACCACCGCGCTCATGTGCGGTTTGTGCACAGAACTACTGGGCAACGACATACACCCTTCGGACGGTCCGATAAATGCGCCCGCGTGCGGCGATTTGGCTTACATTGAGAGCCCCACCGCCTGCGAGGCGCGCTGCAACGCCGCGGCCGGGTGTGCGGGGTTCGTCCACGTCGCTGACGTCAATTGCTGCTTCCTCAAAGGCAAGCTGGAGGCTCAGAGCGCCAACACGGCTTGCGTCACTCATTTGAAGACGGGTGAGCTCCTAGCTGGCGGTAGTGGATATGAAGTGTCCGTGTCCGTGTCCCTGACCCTGTCCCTAACCCTGTCCCTGTCCCTGTCCTTGAGCAGCTGCAGAGCTGCATCTGAACGCTGAACGGTTAGCAGGCTGGCCCACTCGTGCACCGGTAGTGTGCTTGCTATCTGATCGTGGCGTGCCGTTGTTGTGCAAAGGCTTTCAAAGCAGATTGTCATCGAGCATCTTTACGTGGTCCATCTTCCAATGACAGTGTAGCGCCATGCAGTGTAGAAGCGCAACGGTTGACACGCAGCCCCACGGATAGAGAGCTGTAAGATAAAGCCCTCTTTCTGAAACTTCTTCTCTTTATCCCGTTTCGTGCAGGCTTACCTGGATACGTCGTCGCCTACGGGAAGGTAAGTTTCAGCGCCGTGGTGGTCATAGGTCCGTTTCACAATTGCTTGACCTCGAGATCAGGGTTCAAAACGCTTCGAAAACCACCTTCTTCTCCGTCCGGCGACGGCGAGTAACTACTTCTTGGGTCGAAGTACTTACAGTTAATAAAGAAACACGCTTTTTTGACATTGGGTGCATGCTCGTTTCATGGACTCGCATCCGTCAAGCATACTCTCAGGCTTTGCATGTTTTCAGAAGCCTTTTTGAGGAGGCAACTCTGGCCCTATCATGCTATCACCGACCTTTCAACACCTGTAGAACCGCGGCGATATGGCCTTATCCACTTTCAGCTAGCGAGGCTTCTCCGTGGTATCCAACCTGTTCACGTCGCCCCTTAATTGCAAAGCCAAACCTCTTTGCCAAATATGTTCCAGTCCCTGCATCAACACTCCCCAGTACCGCTGATCACCCAAGAACAAATCTCTGAGATACGCTGTCTGATTCGATCGGGCCCTGGCAACCAAGACGGTCCACCCTGCTCCTCGACTCACCGAACTCTCATCCGCATCTAATGTAGGACAATCCGGGTAACGACATCTTTCCTCCGGCGGGCGCCCCGACCAACGCTGCCTTGTGCGGCGACGTTGCGACCGTTGAGAGCATCGGCGCGTGCATCGCGCGCTGCGACAACGCGGCCGCGTGCGCAGGCATCGCGCACTGCGCCGATTACGACTGCTGCTACCTGAAGAGCACCCTGGGACCCGAGAATGCAAACACCAGGGTTGCCATGCTCAGGAAGACCGCTCTTGCGACCCCAACGCCAACAACCCCACCGCCAACAACCCCACCACCGGCAACCCCACCGCCAACAACCTCACCGCCAGAAACGCCACTGCCCACAACCCCACCGCCAGCAACCCCACTGCCCACAACCCCAGCGCCAACAACCCCACCGCCGACGCCGTCGACCCCACCGCCCACCAAACCACCGCCGGCGAGCACAGCGCCGCCGACGAACAGCGGAGGTTCAGGAGGTGGGGGTTCAAGGGGTGGGAAACAACTAGCCTAAGAAGACCGGCACTCGGGTGACGCAGTCTGCAAAGCGGCTGCTGAGCGTTTTGCGAAAGACTCCTGCGAGGGCGCGAGGTTTCGGAATGAGAAGGTGCAGGGGATTTGCAGCCGGGGAAGGGAGTACCAGTGTGAGAAAAACAGTTGAGCAAATTTCGTACTCTTCGGGCGTACGGATGTTCGATGTTAGAGATATATAGTCGTGGGACTCTTCTGTATCTGCAGATTCGTTTCTAGCTGAACCACCTATTCACATAGCTGCTTACTTTGGTTTTATCCTGCTCAGAGACCGTGCGAAACTGATCGAAGGTGGGCGTTGGTTCGTCTTAAGAAGGGACGGTGGATCGTATGTTACCAACCCAAGACTCGTCAACCAGATGCTCGTTTGAGGACATGTCGATCCGTGATAGGATGATTAGTTATCACTGAAGAAGTTTGGTTTGGTGTGTTCTACGTTTTCTAGGCCTGTGATCATTGACACGAAACTATATAGGTAAGAGTTATGCACAGCTATCCCGGTTAGTTGGTGTGGGCGTCTTCCTCTAAAATCTAATTCGAGTAGGAGACGGTGATCTCATGATGGTCGATAGCGTACGTTTTCGAATTGACGAACAGTGAAAAATGGATATTTGCGTTATGAAGCTTGTTGAGCTTGCACCAATAAGCACTAGTAAGATCGGACTGAGATTTTGTCTAACATATATGCGCAGCTTCTCTCAGTGCAGACAGTCATGCGATTAATGTCAGTCAGCGCTGAGCAGTACGGCTGATCTCAGTTTGGTCCCGCGGTTCGAAAACCTTTGAATCGATTCATGGTACGCGATCTTGCAGTGCGCCATATGTGTTGGAAGAACAAGAATATAGCCCCCAAGTATAAGTTAAGTGTGTCCAAATGATCCGATCGATAAGGCCGGACGTGATATAACTGTAAACTTGCATGACGAGCACTTGCCGAGCACTGCAGAAGCAATAGCCGCGCGGCCCACCCCATTTGTATACGTTCCATTAAGCTCTGAGCATTAACATGTGACATACCACTTCATGCAGCTAACTATCATTCCGAAAGACCAACTCAGAAGCCCGTAACCACCGAAGACCAATTTTAGGACACCGTATGTTTGTTTCGTTAATTCCTTGGTATCAAGAATTGGGACTCAGGATAACAAGGTTTTGGAATTGTCAGTATGGTGCTCCTTAGCCGGCCATGTATGCAATTGCACGCTGATGTGCACACAAGCCCTGTGTCTGTCCGGCCGTGAAAGGTAAGCAAGTAAGCTACACAGGGCAATGCATAAGCACTTGACAAAAGCAGCGTCAGTAACGAGTTTGCTGTTAGGACGTTGTGTTCTGATGGGGGTGGACGGACTTTTGAGCTGCACCTGATCTAAGCGGGTCCAATGCTTTTGACAGAGCTTGCTGCCGTACTTCACAGATCCCTCTCATCGTAAATGAGTGTCGTCAAGAAGCTGCGTGAATGCTGTTGCCTGCTTCTTTCAACACCTTAAGCTAGTCAGTCGGCCCATATAGTACAGACTCAGTACGGTCCCCGCATCCATAAGTCAACCTTCCCCCATGACATCCTATCTTTTCTATCTACACTCGAGACCCCAGACCGGGGCACAGATGATCAACTATCAAGAGTTGCGTTCAGCTGGGGGTCAAAGAACTGTAGACTATTGGAGAGCAGTGGCCACGTGTCCTCGACACGTGTGAGGCACCCCGGAGAGAACCAGACTTTGAGCAGCCGTTGCAGCCGCTCCTGCTCGCGCTGCCACAACCGGTACGGTTTCCGCAGCATCGGCAGCCGCACCGCCAGCTTCTCGAGCGCTTCGTTCGTCACCTCGTCGCAGTTGCACAGCCGCAGCGTCTGCAGCATTTTACACCCCCGGAACGCCGTCACCCCGGCATCCGTAAGCTTTCGCGGCGCGTGCCGGATCTCGACGTTGGATCGCGCTTCCAAAAAGATGAGCAGGAACGCGAGCTGTGGGCATGACGCCGCGATGCGCGCGGCGCCCGCGTTCGTAATCCCCTTCCCGATGCATAAGAGAGTCAAACTCGGGCACCCCGGTCGGAACCCCGCGCCGGTAACTTTATCGCAGCCACTCAGATTTAGCCACGCGAGCTGCTTGCACCGCTCCGCAATCTCGGCCACTCCTCTGTCCGACACGTTCTTGCAGCCCGTCAGGTCGAGCCGTCGCAGCGCGGTGCACGCCGTCGCGAGCGCCTCGAGGACCTCGTCGTCGGCTGCGAGGCATGCGCGGATGGAGAGCTCCTCGAGGCGCGGGAAAGCGGCGTAGCTGCCGCTCAGGAAGGAGAGGAGGCCGTCGCGCTTGAGGTAGCGGCAAAAGCCGAGGTTGAGCTTTTTGAGGGGGGAGAGGGGCAAGGAGGCGCCGGGCTGTGGGCAGGGGCGCTGCAAGTACAAAAGAGAAAAGCTTTGAGAGGGAGAATAGAGAACATGTTCGGAAAACAAGCATCGACATGAGCAGTTACGCAGATGGTCTTCTAAGTTAAGGAGGCAGAGAGGGGGACTTCGACATAACAGGAGAAAAGGAGCAAGTCGCCAAGCCCCTTCTGAGAAAGACATTCACCATCTCATAATGGGAAGAGGCAAAAACATAACGAAGCTATTCAAGGAGAAGCAGCGGCTAACACAAGGAGCAAAAGCTCGGCATCCAGCAGAAAGCAACGCCGTAGCCACGAGTCCCGAAAGCTAAACTACTTCCAAATGTGGCTCAGACTCCACTTCAAATTGCTCTCCTACTGTTCAAAACTGCATGTTCGATTCGACTTACAAGCAAGGTGATGCGATCCGGCAGGTCGCTGCCAGGTCGCCGGAATGCCCTCAAAGCACGCGCATCATGGGCGGACGTCCTTTAGAATCTTTTGTAACCGCTTGTGAAGCAGCTCGGTGGGGTCCGACAGGAGGCTCAACCATCGAGATAAGTTTGGAGTCAGGATTCCTGACCTGCACTTTGATGCACGTGTTGGAGAGGCGCAGCTGCTCCATTTGCGGGCACCCCGCCACGATATGCCCCAACAGGATGTCCGTGACGCCCTGGCAGTCCCGCAGGTCCAGCGCCCGCAGGTTGGCCGCCGCGCGCAGCGGGAACAGCACCGAGTCGTGGCGGTGGTCCACAGAAAGCCCGCGCCCGTCGATTACGCCGCCCATGCGCAGCTTCTCCAGCTGGCGACACCCCTGGAGACGGAGACAAAAATGGAGGGGTTAAAGCGAGAAGATGGGGACGGTTGGTAGCAAGAACGGTGGGTGGTCAAGAGAAGGGGAGAAGCCAGCAAAGAGGAGATGTTCGGCGGGAACGATGATTGTTGCGAAGAGCGGAGACACCTTAAGGAGAGGAAGCACGTGTGACTGCCTTATACTAACTTCGTTATACCAACAGGACGCAAACCAAAAGTCATGCAATTGTCAGCTTTTGCGAAGCTGACAGGATGAGCCAGAAGACAAACAGTGCAACAGAAGGCACCCACTCGCAGCCTTAACTTTCCAGTAACTTCTTTCTACGAATCACGTTCTGCTTGTTCCGTAGTGGTCGAGTTTTGCAGAAGCGCTGCCTTCCCTGTTGCGGGCACCACATACTCCTGCACAACCAGGGCCTGACTAAGATCATGCAATGGTCAGATTTCGTTTGAAAGCGGCCCCACCTTGACGAGTCGATCCACCCCGTCCTGACTGAAGCTGCAGTCGCAGTAGTCCAGGCACAGCTCCTCTAGCGCGGAACACTTTTTCCCAATGCTTGCCAGCCACTCGTCTGACACCGTCTTCGCCATCGTCAGGTCTAAACACCGCAGCCCCCCCGCCGCCTCCCCAAGCGCCGCAATCCCCACGTGAGTCACGTGGTTGTATCTTCCCGCCCCCCAGATGATCACTGTCCGCAGGTTCGGGCACCCTTTCGCTGCAAAAAGCTGCAGCCCGGAGTCCCGGATGCCTGAGACACACGCGAGCGACAGGTGGCGCAATCTCCTGCACCCGGCGCCGATGAGCGCAAGCCCCTCATCAGACCATCCGCTTGACCCGCTGAGGTCAAGCGTGGTTAACGTGGAAATGAACCCAATTTCCTGGAGACCCCGGTTGCTCAGCCCCGAGCAATACGCAAGGTTTAGGTACTCCAGATGGGACGAGTACCGTGCGAGAGCCGCCAGCGCCGCATCGATCCCCTCGCAGCAGCGCTCCTCCGGCATCTTCTCCACCCCCCCTTCCTGGATCTCGCTCACCGACGGCAGGTAAACGTCCGTCAGCCCCTCCCCCCCGCTCAGGCTCTCCTCGTCGCTGCCCCCCTCCAGCTGGCCCTCTGCGATTGCGAGCGTGCCTTCCCCCTCTTTCTTCCCGGTTTCCTCTCGGAACACCCTGCGCAGGCCGAGGCGCCGCAGGTTGCTGCACTGTTGGGCGAGTAGAGCGATGCCTTTGGATGTGACGGAGCTGTACTCGCGGCTGCTGCCGTCCCCCCCAATGCTGATGTAGCTCCCGCAGCGAGGGGCATCCTGCATGGGACCTGGAATACAAGAAGGTGAACAACGTCAACATCAGGGTGGTACTGAGAGACGATTTTAAGGTCTCGTGACAGACTGCCGATGCTTCATACTACAGAAACAACAAGAACTGCCAGGCTGGTGAAAACGTGATGACATTTGCGAGAGGGAACGTCTGGCGACATTTGGCTGAGCGATTGAAAGAGCGCCTCTGAGTTTGTCAGCTCAGACATACTAAGGTTACCACTGTGCATTATTGACATTCGTGTGGCAAACCGTCTCACCACGCCACCTCCCTCCTTCTTCACACCTTTGTGAATCGCACTCCTAATTGGAAGTTGGAACTTTTGTTTCTCACCTGTTCCTTTGTCACCCTCTAGGAAGTTGTACCCCAAATCCACCGCCTCGAGCCCCGCACAGTGCTGCCCGATCGCAGCGAGGGCCTCGTCCGAGGTGCGGAAGCACCCCCCCTCCAGGGTCCGCGCCACTTTCAGCGAGGTCAGCCCTGGCAGAAGGCTCAGCAGGCTGCCGAGCTTCTCAGGGTCGCACTGCGGCAGGAGAAAGACCGAGCGGCTGCCAACCAGGATCTCCTTCCACTTGCGGCACACCGAGGCGATCACTTTCGAGCTCCCCCCCCCGGCCTTCTCAAAGATGGCCGCCAGGCACTCCTCCGGCAGCTGGTTGATCAAGTCCCCGCCCTGAGCCCCCACCCCGCCCGCCCTCACGTTCTTGCCCTTCCAGGACCCCCGCGCACCGGCCCGGCGGCCCCCCGCAAGGGGCGAAGAGCGAGATGACAGCACTAGTTGGTTTCGCAGCTCCGGCTCGCACTCACTTGCCGGGGGATCGCTCAGTTGGAGGGACCCTAACTCAAACTCTGCATGCTCCTTGTCTGATTCACCATCGTCTGCAAAGCGAGTCTTCCTGCGCCGCAGGGTGAAACAGCCCAGCCTGGAATGCCGTTCTGAGTGATCCCCCGCCGCTGCCGCCTCATCTCGGGACTGCCGAACCCCCATGCCGACTTGCTACAGGGCGTTGTTCAACCCGTCAATCTTTTGCTTGATGAGGTGCTGGAAAGGGCGGTCTACTCCGCTGCACTGGGTGTGTTACCGCACTGATAACATAGATGATTCATTCATCATTGTAGAACCCTCAGCGAATTGGCCCCCGATGGCTGCATTTTGCGCAGAACAGACTCTCGAGCTGGTTTCTTTGCCTGATGATGCACCCCGGTGCGTACTCCATTATATGCCACTCCAATCGTGCTGCAAACAACAAGGTAACCCTAAGTCAAGAACGATAGCAGAGAGCTATGGACTTCATAAGACCAAGAGCTACTTTGGATTGCAGTATGCCCCATCAACCGACCAAAGAACGCCTGGCAATCAAGAAGTCTCATGTATCCAAACTATTAGATCAGGAGGAGAACAAACCTAAAACAGCAGCAAAGATAGACTCACGGTTTTGGGAAAGCTGCAAGATTCTAAAAACAACAAGTTTTGTTTCTGCCCTAAACTGGGATCTCCAAGTGCCAATGCATCAAGAGGAATAGCTGGCGGTGAGATGTAAAAACCCCATTGATTTGTCCAAGTAGGGACCAATGGGCGCTGAGAAAAACTTTTTAGAGAGAGAGGAAGATGACAGGAGCGCACTGGAAGTGTCATGAGATTCAATAAAACCAGAGTCGTGTCATGTGGTCACTCCTGTTTCAGATTAGGTACTCATGAAAACCTGCTCGGTCAACCAAAAGATTTGGTCAATGAAAGTCAAAGGGCTCACATCGCAAGGAGCAACGGCGAAGCTCATCTAGTAGCAAGACACAAAACCACAATCCTCTTCCTTCCAGACATCCACAACAACACAAACACAGCACCGACCTCCGGTCAACACTTTCAGAGCGGTATGGCAGATTGCAGCTTAGGAGGTCCCTCAGACGACCTTCTTTGAAAAGGATGCATTTTCCCAGTGCACCCAATCCTTTGCGCAGTCAGACCGATCCTGCTCACCTTGTCAAGGGCTCCCTTCTCAGGTTGTGAAGTCTAATGAGCCCCTTTCCGAGTCCCTCCCTTGCCAAAACCCCAATTTCTCAAGTAGCTGGCCAAGGAGGACGCCACACCTTAGCCAGTCCCGAGTTGCTATATACCGGTATCAATGGCCTATCAGCCGCGCATCTTGACATCAATGAAAAGCACAACAGCACAGCTTGTCCGCCATGCTGGTGCATGGGAGGACTGCTCGACAAGTAAGAGCCTTTTCAGCAAGATCTCGCCCAGAGGCCCTGAGAGGGTAGTCCTAGGCCCAGGGCCAGGGTCTAGATATGAGCCCATTCTCTTGAGGTGGTCGTGATCGAGTGAAGTGCACCTCGGTCCTCGGCTCAGGCTCTCTTGAGTCTCAGATCCAGGTGGACCGTCACCTCGACACTGTTGATCGTGCATGATGCACGCAGCACGTCACCTGGGTCGGGTTCACATTGGACTTTCTCAAAACTTTTATCGTGATTCGGTAGCTAGGACTAGGCTTGCGTCACTCGGCGTCACCCCGGCAGAGTCGGCGAGCTAACGGTCAATTCTTCGAACTTCAGAAGTTATCGAAGTCGAAAACCAACTCAAATCCGGGAGGCTATCGAAACGCGGTCGACGACCGCGTTTGGATAGCCCAATCACGATAAGTACAGGTTTGATATCGTCACGCCTCCGCCTTTGCTGACGGTTTTGTGTACTTAGTGTACTCAACCGATTCACGTGGTCGGTCACATGGCTCCGGCCGAGAGTTTTGAATTACGATATGTATTTCGACGGACCAAATTGCAATGTGAACCCAGTCTAGCTATCGTTTCCGAAACTGCTAAAACGTCAGCATGGGTACTTCCAATTGCGAATCATGGCAGACCGAATTAGGGCAGAAACTCCAATGTGAACCCGACCCTGCTAATTAATCGTGTGTTAATGATATCTAAGCCCGGTCGTATTGCCCCGGGCTTTTGGAAGCTAGAACTCGGCCTCGGGGCCCAAATCATCGGCGAAACTGGAGCCCCAGTGTAAATTCCAGAATATCGCTGCGACGGCCGGCTCGGGGCCAACCGACCACTGTCCCTTCTACCTAGTCCTCGCTGGTACAATCACCGCTTCCCCACATGGTTTCATTTC